TTTTATTTTTTACTAATTTTTTTATTCACTTTTTATTATTTTTAAAAGCAACTTTTAAATTTTTTTTAATAAAAATTTAAATTTATGATTCATAAATAATACTAAAAAAATAAAAACTCAAAAAAGTTTCACCAAACAGACCCTACAATTGGAATTCAAATTTATATGAGCACCTAACTCATGCACCCACGAGACACAATATAAAAGATAAAAAAAAATATATTAATATATATATAGTGACCCTTTGGAATGTTTGGTATGCTATGAAAAGGGTCCAATCCAGCAACATTATTTTAACATAGGTGAGCTTTAATTCTGCACTAATGATGATATGATTTTGGGTTTCCTCCTTAGAATGGCCTAGCCAACCTAGCCAAACTGCTTTACAACTCTAAATGGATATGACTAGGTGGGTAGATATAGTTGTTCTTTGCACATGTGAGCACATGCACATAAAGGATTGAGAAATTTACACCCTTTTTTCAATTTTGTTTTTCGTGTTGCTTTTGGATTGCAATATTGGTGCATCCTGATTCTGTATACTCAACTGGTCCACGAGTGCAAATAATCAATGAATATATTGCCAATCCCCTTAAATTATGAAAAGTTGGAAACTATAAAATCGATTTTATTAGTGTATTTTTAATCTTCTACTTAGATAAAATGGGTTGGAGAGAACGGATTTATAATTAAGGATTTTTTTAATATATACCCTTAATTAATTAGGGCATAAGTTAAGAATAAAATTATTATTTTTTTCACATTAAATAGTATTAAAAAATTATTATTAATTTTATCGCTAATATCACATGAATCATTTTAATTGAATAATTACTTAAATGAGGTCAACTTTTATTTTTTAATATTAATTAATATAAAAAAATGCAATAATTTATAATTACACCATTAATAATAGTACATGTTAGACTAACCCTTGGTAGTTTTATGTCAATGATTTGAAACTGAATTCTACTTTTGTCCTAGAAGGGAGGGTTAACTGAAGAAGAGTTAATTGAAGAAGAGTTAAGGATTTTCAAGACATTCTTTTGGTATACCAATCAAGTTTAAAGTTTGATATTTTGTAATTTAAATTAAACACCCGTTATCATAAAAGGGTTCCTTTTAATCCAATAATTAATGTTTTACATTTTAATATAGCTCAAATATTTTTCTAAGATTTATATATGACTTGAGATTATTTCATAAGCTGAACTTTCAATTCTATAAACCAGTTTGAAAACTAATTAATTGTTCAACATCATAGCCCACCTCTCTAAATTGGGGTCGAGCTATTGCCTTTATATCTATTTAGTTTGTTGGTTGTTTAAAATGAATGCCATCATCTACAAAAGGGAAAGAGCAAAAACAAAATGATAATTAATTTTTCATTATTATTTAATGTTAAAATAGTACATTTATCGTATCCTTAAATAGGGTAGATAAAAAAATCTGCAACTAAAAAAAATTTGAGAACTGATGAAACCATGATTAACAGGTAGGGTTTGATTGAATTTTGAGTTTATTTGATTAAAAACCAAACCAAACTAATTTTAAATAGTTTGGGTTTTGATTGTTAAGTATAAAAATAAAAATAACCGTTGACTAAGTTGAGACTAACAAAAAAAAAAAATCGACTAAAAGATCTTTTACATAAATTTTTAAGCTTTTTTAGCTAATTTTCATCAAATTATTTATTTATTTGGGTAATTTTTTGTTTTTAGAGATTAAAATTAATAAAAATAATAATTAAAAAAATTT